TTGAGATAACGATGGAACAAAAAAAGTGACATACATACATACATACATACAGACATACAGACATACAGACATACAGACAGGGTAACTGCAAAGACTCCCTTTTGTGCTTCGCACACAGGAGTCAATCAGAGAATTGAAGTTATCGTGAAATATAGAAATCTGAAGGAAACCATCCAAGCCATCTTCTTTAATAGCCGATTTCAAAGCCATAAGGTTTTTCAGCCGAAAATTAAACATATAAAGTTTATGCCATCGAATGACAATGACAATGACACGATTAATATTAGCTTTACTTGAAAAATAACTCACAGTACAACTAGACACATCGATTAATTAATTACTGGTTAAAAAAAAAAATTGTTACCATTTTGGAAGCCATCTCCAAGACAGCCAAGTCCATGAGGTGGGGCGTCTGCAATGAACACGCATATTTTTGTAGAATCTTGTCTCCAATCTAGTTTCAATATTTGATGTAAAGCATCAGCCACCGCTTCTGGTGTATCGCCGCCTGTTGATATCAATGATACACATGTTAGGTGAAATTAATATTCATGTTTCTGATCATTGGGTGAATCTGGTGAATCATTTGGGTCTATGGAATCGATATACGGTTCTACCACGTCCACCTGGTCATTAAGGTTTTTAATCTAAATATTTAAGCTAAATATTGTTTAATCTAATTGTTTAATCTAAACAATATTTCTCTCAGCTTGTATACTTATGGTAGTGAATTTCTTACCGCCAGAAGCACTTGCCGCATCTAACCACGATTTCATTCTACTGACAGATGAAGTGAAGTCATGTACCCTTGTTACAAATGTACTTTCTTGTGGAGGATGGTCACGATATTCCACCAATGCCAACCGGACATCAGATTTTTCTTTACATACAATCTCTTCTACTATTGTTCTCACATTCTGTAAAACAAACCAAGAATTACAAATCAGTGTCCAAAAAACAGATTAAAGGTCAACTGACCACAGTGAAGTCCTGTATGGGTGGTATTCATCCCCTAAGGCTTGTGATATTCAATGGTCATTTGAAATTTATAAACATTTATAACAATTTCCTTCAAAGACAGCAACCCCTTTTTCCAAATTATTATTTTTTTAATTGTCCTATAACTTGTATTTTGTATTTTATTTTTGTTTATAATTAATATTTATGTATTGTTGAGACTTTTTTTTAGTGAGTGTATATTATATTTTTCTTTTTTGCTAGTGTATATTATCTAACTATTTTAATTTCTTCTGAGGAGTTGCAAGCATTTTTAATGAAGTGAAATGGAAATTAAAATTACTTTATGTAAAACAAATTCACACCTTCATGAAACATGGTGTATCTTGTTGTAGTTTTGAATAATCTTAAAGGGCGACAGTCATCGTGCTGTGTTCTGTTCGATATGGGACTCATAGCGTCGTACATGTATACAATGCGTGTAAAATACAAATTCAAACTCACGCTGCGCGGCGACCACCGCGCTTGAATATAAAAAATACATAAAACCGCATCAACTCATCAATTTTCCTTGGGACGAGAAAAAGAATTTTTCTTGACCTTACTAAATCATTATATTTATAATCAGTTATTGAAGTGTTCCTATAATTATACTTATTATTTAATTTTACTTTTACAACATTTGATAGTTGCAAAAACCTTTTTTGTTTTTATATCAATTTCCTTTATTTAAATTAGTTAGATCTAGATTCATATTATCCACTTGACTTTGATGTTAAGAACAAAAATGTTTACACAATGAAAAAAATACAAAAAGAAAATCAATTAAAAATATATATATATAAATTCCTATCATCAATATGAGGGAGCAAAAGGTAAAGTAGATGATGATATGATAAAGTAGGTTGTTCAGTGAAATTATTGCTTTCATTTTCATGACATTAGAAAGTATACGGCTCCAGCAATTGGGAGTGAGAACAATTTTGGCCTCAAAATAAAAAAATAAATATTTTGTTAGTGTTTTGTACATTTTTTCATTTATAAATTATTATAAATTTTTGTTGTCACTTCATTGATGTTGAATTTTTTCAAGGTTGTGCACAATAAAGTTGTTATTGTCATTCATTCTTGCACATTCTATCAGATACATTCTATTGGTTGTTACACAGTCCTGGTTGTAAGTTACTTCCTGGTAAATAATGGCTGAAAAGAAAAGTATCCAGATGTACAGATTAACTTCCTCGTAGCCTTTTCACACAAAACTAAAGTAGTATCAAACTTCCCTAGTTTGCGTCTAAAGTTTCAACTAAAGTACAATTTGGTCTTATAGAAATTTAGGGGAAGGTGCAATTGTATATGCCCCTCTAGATAACTACAACTACGAAAGACCCTAAGGGGCCCTAATGAACTCTTATCCTCCTTCTAGTAACCGTGGTTTAACATAATCGGGGCTGTAGGTACATGTTCCCCGGGATTATATTGCCCGTAAAAAGACACAATCCCGCAAAAAATCAGTATTTTATATGTGTTAGGCGATTTATACACACATTGTTTTTTTCATTTTACCTGTTGTGCTGTAGCAATATAGCTTCCCATACTCCCCGTGCAGTCCATTGCAAAGGCTAAATCCAAGACAGCAGAGTCGTGTTTCGCCAATTCTGGCTGAGACACTTTATTTACTTTGATGCTCATATTTACGATGTGTCTGATAAAACTGTAGCTCCGAAGCGTGTTTCAAACAACCGACAAATACGATGTGAAAACTGGTTATGATCGGCAGTCGTTAAATAGCCAGCAAAATGCTGAATAGGAAAATATTTGAGAGTGACTCCCTCTGTTATGATGGTGAGTAGGGTCTATAAATAGAAAGGTGAATCATCCGATATTTTTAGATATGACGCCATCGTTCCTATAGAGAGGCTGGGATCGACCATTATATAATGGGGGTATTAACTTGTGCACATTGACAAGATATTTGCTTAGCGTTGACGGATATTATATTAGAGCCTAATTACTAGTATTATTCTCGAACAATTTCGATGTCATGGTGGAAAAGCGTTCCTACCTTGTGTTAATATCGCCTACTTTATTATCCAACAAACGTAAACATCTGTTGTTATATGACCAATTTCACCTCCCTGTAAATGTGGTTGAATTCAATTCGAGTCGAGTTAGAATTATCACCTCCATGGAATTATGAAGCATGCTTGATTTTCATATTCCAGTGTTCTGAATCAATTAATATTAATCATAAACATTTAATACTAGTAATGCTAAAACACTTATACTCATATCTTATTCAACACAAGATACATAATAATTAGGTTTTAGCCAAATAGAATGGAATATTTTAAATTACATTATTATCCGCTGTGCTCGTTGATTGGCTGGTTGGATTCAACTGTCATTCAAATTTATAAATACATGTATGTATAAACATGAATGAAGGGAATGGGTTTATTATGTTGTGAGTATGCATGATACAGTTTATGGAGACAGATGTATAAAACAGCTGAACATCCAAGTACAACGTTAACGTGCCTGTATATATGGAGGCGGAATTCCCCTTATTCGATTCATTTTGAAAACCTGCACATGATCAACCATGATTGTCAGGACCAAAAAAATGCATCTAATTTGTGATATAACTAAGGCTACGTCATAAGTTGGAATGTTTATTTTACAATATTAAAAATTTAATAATAAATTCGAAGGAGCAACTAATATTCTTCAACCTGGTATTTTTTTTAGATTTTATTTTTTATTTTTTTCGTCTGTTTTTTCGAGTTTAAAAAATGTGAGCTGGCTGGAGCCTTCATCCCTTGTCTATTTCTTACACTAGATACCAGCCGATACCCCCCCCCCCGCTCATAGAGACTGCGTATTACAGTTGATTATAGTTCCTGGGCTCCCTGTGGCTTAGCGAACAATACAGTGCATGCATTGTTCTATTAAGATTCCCCCGTCAACAGGTTTGTAACCACGGTGACTGAAGTTTTAAATTTTGCCACCTTTGCTAAAATTTATGTGTGAACTATTCTGATTAATAGTGGATTTAAAAAAATAAATAATATTCATATTCCTCGAATAATACTACATGTACTGTATAATATTAATGTCCCTTAAAGAATAATACAACATGAACTGTATGAAAGTTTCTAAAAGTACTTGAAAAGAAAAATGTTCATCAATGAATACATTTACTGTTACAGTATTAAACTATATGCTCCTTAAGGAATAATATACCATGAATTTTTAAAAAGTTCTTAAAAAACATTTCAGCAACATATCTAACCAAAATTCTGCAAAATGTACTGAATTAATTCAATGTACCTTATAGAATAATATGAACTGTGTAAAAGTTCCTGAAAAAATAATAATACAGGAACAACATTTTGCAAGAAAAATACTACGAAACATTTAATACTACCTGTACTGTATTACACTTGCTAATTACACCAAAATTGAACTTGGTTGACATTTCATAGGGATTGATGAAATTCACAAATTTGAAGGTGAGTAGATAAAAATAGTTTGAGTTATTGTATAACAAGACGAATACAAATTTAACTGAAATTTAACCAATATCTTGTAATATACATAGAACATTAACCGTATCAAACTTAGCTGAGTTACCAGACTGGTTAACATAATATCCAAGTTTTAAATAAATTGATTAAAAACTGTTTGAGTTAATGTAAATACAAGGAAATGTTTTACAACAGAGTGAACAACGACGACGACAGGGACAGACATTTTCTCTTTATATACCTTGATCTTCATCCACTATGACTGCGAACAAGGAAAAAATACATGAAAATAGGATAAGAATCACACTTTTTCTACATATTTAGTAATGTAAAATACTTTATATAGATATTGTTATTAAAGGGCGGTGGCCGTCGCCCTGCGCATGCACTTCGCGACCAGCACTAATTATCGCCGGTGACACCCACGATACTTTCTAATCACCTGAAAAATACTTAATTAAAGCTTGGTAACGTTTCAGTTTGTACTCATTAATCTGCGCAACAGTGAAAGTCGCCATCTTTGTTTATATGAAACCCACTGCATATATCTCGCGCATGCGTGGCGCGACGACTACCGCCCTTTAATATTTCTTTCGTCCCTAGAATGTGCTGACAGCTAAAACTCATTGTACCAATCGCTTCGTTTGGTATTGAGAAATGTGTCACCTCTCTCAGCCCTGTAAAATCTTTTTGGTGACGAAGTTTCAATGTCCTCGCTTGACTTTCATTTTCTGAAAGAATATATATTTCCGCGTACATACATCTTTAATACTTGTTCTGTACTTGTGGTATTGAAATCACATCCCTAAATGAAGTACACATAAACCCAAAACTGCATTTATTTTAAACTGGATTATTAAAATATGACTTATGTCATTCATAAAAAAACTTTTACAATATCTATACAAATATAGTGAAGTCTTTTAAGATATCTCTGAACATAGTCATTTTTATCGGTAAAAAAATGCCAATCTAACTCTAGATTGTTTAATTTGTTAAATTTTCAACTTTTCTCCATCAACATGTCCTTGAAATAACCTATGATAACGGCGAGAAATAACTAAAGAAAATCTCAGTGCCAGCAAGGCCGCTAGAGGGCCCGATTTTTTAAAAAACCTCTCTGGGAACTTGAAAACTTACTGTGTATTTAGGAGTGCCACGTATGTAAACCAAAAGAAACGCATATTATATTTCTCAGTTTCTAAGGTATATCTCTAGTTTTAGATAAAATATTGTAAAATATTACATAAATTGTAACTCGGCTTTAAAGGCATAATTGGATGTGACGCCATTTTAATTAATTAATTTTGATGATTATTGGAGCGTCAGAGTTGCTTGTGATTGAATTTTGTGATTAAAAAAATCGTGAAATGTAAATATGGCACAAAATCACCCAAATCGATCGATAAATAAAGGCTAAGAAATGTATAAATATTACATGGCGATACGGTCGTCGCATTTTAATTTCACGTGGATTGATTTTCGTACACGTTTTACATACACTGCACATAACACGACCATTGCGTTGTAAAGGACAGGCTAGGAAAGACAAGTGATGGAAGTGTGATGGACGTACTGGAGACAGAATATGCCAATAATATTGTATTATTAATAATAACAACACATCAAACAACTGTAACAGTACAATAACCCATATATCCGTACGTAGCTGAGAGGGCCCACCCAAGCTACGTACGAAAATTTATGACCCTCCAAGCTACGTAGAAAAATATATGACGCCCAAGCTACGTACGGATATATGTGGCCTAAAGTAACATGCGGAGATAGGACCCTACAAATAAGACATATATGTATATTTAATGCTATGTCCTATATTTCTTTACTGACATAGCTATCTTTACCGTCACTCATCTTTCCTGGTCCTCTGTGTTTAGATCACCACTATTCCTGTTCAAATATATACACCCCCCGTACTCGTTGATAAATATAACGAATAGTTTTTATTTGTTTTACGCATTTAATATTAAATAAAACATTTTGGTGTTTCATTGGTGTATTACATTTCTTTTATACATTATTCGCCAAAACATAAAATCATTTATTCCATTTAGTCATTTCCTTTCCCGACCTACCTTTGAGGTGGGATTCGAACTGAATATGCAATTGTTCTTTGTAACAGATGGTACTTCTCATTATTTACCAAATTTTAACATTTGCATATGACGCAGTGATATCCACGGCAGTGTATTTGCGCATGTCCACAAGGTTTGCGCGTTCTCTCCACGTTGACACTGAGTCATTTCTGCTGGTCGTTCAATTTATTAAACCGTATAGTATTTTTACTTTCAAAACAATGGATCGTTCAACCGTGGCGTTGGTATTAATTTTATTTGTTTTCCATGTCTCATCCATCATAGCTCAAGGTAGGTATAGAGATATTTAATTAATTGCGCAATATCATATGACGACAAAACAGTGTGATGCAACAACTAATTTGAACGCTGTTAATATTTTCGCCTCCAGATGACCCACCACTGTGCAGCGAGTATACCAACTGCCAGGAATGCAACGATAATTTACTCTGTGTATGGGGCGCTTGCAGCGGACCCGACTCTGAAGGTATTTTATTCTCGTACCATTACTTACATCATACTTAGTTCAGTGTGTGACCAAAATTAATTTATTCAACATTTTAGCAGAAATTGTCTGTTTTTTGTTTCATATATCAACAGCTTGTTTTCAAGATTAGGGTTAGAAATCCAAAATATATTATATATATATATATTTATATTTTAAATCCGATATGATAACATCAGTGATTATATATTGTAGTAAAACAATCTGGTGAAGCGATTACCATGACAATGTAGTCATTACTAAAATTGAAAATGAACAAAACATACTGGTATTCCATGCTTTGCTAGGAATACATGATTAGATAGAATAGGTATTTGATTTGACACATGCACATACATGAATACTAATATAAAAAATAACATACAATTCAAATTCACTTAATTCAAATTAAATAAAACCCTACAGAAAAAGGTACTAAACTACAACATTTGTACTTGAAAAATAAAACGGAATTGTAATATAATAGTGATTTCAAAAATTGAAATCAAAACATGGGTTTTAGGTTTATATGATTTTGTCTATCTTATGTTTACTACCTAGATCTCTCCTTTCAAAAGATCCAATTAATGTTACAGTAATTAACAAGCATTCAACCTAATATATGGAGGCAAAATTTTTTTTTTTCAAATGTGTTCCATAATTATTAATTTTGACACATCAACATTTAATTTTTTTTCAACCTGCAGGAAATATTTTATTTTTTGGGGGAGAGGAGGTTTTAAAATGTTTGAAAAAATTACATATTTTTGAAAAAAAAAATTCCATAGGTATCCACATTAATGCATTGTTTCATTAATTAATAAAAATGGTCAAAATATTAATCAAACTTTCTTACTAATTCATTACAACCATTCAATTTTGTTATCACATGTACATGAAATTTTGAAATATTATGAGACATTTTAACGAAATGAATAGTAAATGTAAAAGGTGGTGGCGTATGCTCAAATTTTATGTAACCAAATAATGTATTTTTACATGCATTATGTACGCCTCAATGAGTCCCATACCAAACATTTAAAATACCATTGTTGCCAGCAGATCCCACTCACTGGTAATAAGATTTATACATTGATTCTAACATGATCATTACCTATGCTGGTACTTATTTGTTTTAATCCTCTGAATACAATCATTTTTCTCCACAAAATGTCTGTGCTACCTTTTGCACAATTTTACGTTTTTTCTCTCTGTAAAGCGCGGAGGTCGTCGCACAGCGCGTGCTCGAATTTCATTTAAATAAACAATGTATTTTACACACGTTGTATACGTCGTTATGAGTCTCATATCAAAGAGGACGCGGCGCAACGACTGCTGCCCTTTAATTTCATCACAAAACTTTTTTTTAAAAAAAATATGCAGGGTTATTTTAAGAAAGATGGCAAAATTTGACTTAGATTTTAGGAGTTAACCTAGCATACCGGTATAACAAAGTATGATGTGTTTAATCAATATACTGATTAAGATGATACATTGCTATGAACTACACTATCAACATCCGCATCTGCATCCAAGAATTTTACTAATATTTACAATTTGGTTATTCTTAAATTACCAAAAAAAAATATATTCTGCAAATTGAGAAAAAAATATGTTGTTTCAGAAAATGATGTGATGTTCAGATATAATTGAAATAGACATTTTGGGAAACTTCAAGCTGCTTGCATAAGAAGATGCTTGCTAATGGAACCTTTCACAACAGATTTCTGGTGTATGGTTTCCTAGCAACTGATAAGTATATATAGTTACATCCGCTGGCAAACAGGAAGGCAGTTAAATGTCGAATCTTTTCATGTTGTCATAGCAACACAGCAGCTAAGAAATTGTACATCATTTTCTGGTTGTTTTCCTATCAGCCAATGTTGATTAGATTCTAACATAGAATTATATCAACTTTTTTTTAATATGTGTAAATCGCTCATTGCCGAAAGTTTCAAAATCTCTCCCATTATTACAATATTATTCTATTCTATTCTATTCTATTCTATTCTATTCTATTCTATTCTATTCTATTCTAGTCTAGTCTATTCTATTCTAGTCTATTCTAGTCTATATTAGAAAATTTCATGTAGTACATTTGAACCAATATTCTAAAATATTCAATTATTTCTACTTTATTTTTTACCAGAGTTAAATTAAACAAAACATTTTTTTGTACTTGCTCTCTCTGATCTTCCTAATACTGCTGTTTCTATGACAACAGTATCTGCAGCATTGTCTCCATATTTTTATTAAAAATAAAGTGTTTCAATGCATCCAGAAAAAAAAATAATATATGTATAATCACTATGGTTCAATGAAACATTGAAATAAATGGGAAATATCAGATGAATTGCAACACAAATAATAAAAATAATTCACTATTTGATTTTGTGAAAGTGGTCATTTGACCCATTACCTTGGGGAAAAACAGATTAAAATTAATAGCAATTATAGTCAATTGTAGTGCTTGTACCATATGGTGGATTATTACTATTCAAACAACTAGAATTGGACTATGTAAAATAGATTTCAAAGTGTTGAGTACGTCTGTTACACTAGACTGAAACCATGTAGTCATTCTCACAGGAATTACGTCATGTCATGGCTGCATGCTGTGACGTCTACAATTTTACAGTTAAAACTGTTACAGATTTTGTAGAAAGATCAATCAATCCAACAAAAGATTTCTCTTCAAGGATATATGCTATATATGTGCAAATTTTCTAGCAATATTTAATAATATATTATAATATTCATAATAATTAAACTCAAATTTGGTTTTTAATTTCAGTCATGTGCAACCTTAACATGTTGCAACAAATACTGATGATAGTGCTATCTGTAAATATAGTTGTATCATGTCAAACATTGAACTGTGAGTAATTACAACTGTTAGCAGGTTGGAGCTGGTCATGGACCACATATGTCACACTAAAATCAGCTCTCAGCTTTGCAATTAGGTTAAGGGCTTGGGATATTTTTCAAAATAGTAGTCATAAAAAAATTATTGTACATAATATGCCAATCTGTTTGGTTTTCTTGCATTTAATAAATGTGACATTTGATTGAAATCATTTTTATATTATTTTGGAACCTCAACCGTACATTATCTTATTGTGTTCTTTTGGAACGAATGAGTGTAAAAATAAAAAGAGAAAAAACTACAAATGTGTACTACTAATTAATAACTAACTCAATTATTTTTAACAGAATTAGATTTAGCATTCATGCTAATACTATTCATATTTACTAAAACATATTTATTAAAACTAATGGCAAAAATATTTTCATTTTAGTTTCAAGTTTCACTTGCGAAATGAAAATATTACTATTTTCTAGCAAAAATTTGAATAATATTGATATGCAAGTGAATTTTTGTTTTCTGCTACAATTTATGGGTATAAGTTTTTATAATGGCGGTGAATAATATGAGTAATAAATCTGAGAAACAAAATGTTTGAGGGGGTGGTCTTAGTCTTGGATTAAAAGTGAAAATTCTATCAGGAATTTGAATGTAATTTGTATCAGTAATAAACAGCCTAACATAATGGCAGGGGTTTTTCTAGGAAAAAAATGCAAGAGGGAGCACTGCAATTTAGCGGTGCCACCAAGTGGGGGAGATAGGGTTCTCCCTACCAGGGTGTGGAGTTTTTGATAATTCTAAGTTAAAGTAGAGCATTCTATGGCTTCCTTGGAGCCAAAAATTACTATCAGACAGGTCACAGTTGAAGACTGTGGCCACATGTGTCTGGTCAATCAGAATTTTATGGTTGCCAGAGGATCAGCTCCCCAGGGTAAGGGGGCGCATGGCCATGGCATGAGGGCGCTGCGCCCCTGTTCCCATGTTCCCTGTAATGGTGCATGATTTTATAATGCCTCTTCCAGTAAATGGAACAGCCTAAAATAACAGTACATAAATACTGTGAAATACTTTATTTTCGATTGGAATTAATTTTTGCAGTTTTCAATGGAGGAATAATTCAGTGAAAAATAAAATCCAGCGACAATACCTTTTTTCCTATATTTTACATTCAACTCAGTGAAAATAAATTCCATACAAAACACCCAAACAGTCTTTTCACCGAAAATTAATTCCAGCTAAAATAAAGTATTTTACAGTATATATATAATGGTATTTCCAGTAAATGGAGCAGCCTGATACATGTACAATTACTGTAAAATTATTTATTCTCGCTGACATTTAATTTCACTATTTTGATGCTTTCAGCATATGCACTGTGTTTTAATTCCATGAATTTGTCAATGAGTTTTATTGTTATTCTACATGATCACATAGATTTAGTGAATTTTACTTATCAGTGAAAATAGCAAAATTAAAACCCAGTGAATAATTAATTCATTCATTTATTTATCAGAATAAATACAAATTCAGCATAAATGTTGTTAAAAAAACACTGCATCAAAATATACAATATTTAATAGTATTTTAACCATTTCATCAAACTGTGGAGGTAGTCAGAAATGCAAACTCATGTTTTTGATTATCTATGTATGGCCATCTGATTTCTTTTTGTTGTCCAAAAAACCCCCCAAAAATGAACATTTGAAACATCTTGGTCATTGGTTCATAAGCCTCTTTCACATCATACATCACATTGCTTGATTTAGTTTTAAGTGGCCGAATTCTTTAATAAAACTTCAACCATTTCTCCAAATTTTTTGATTGATTTTATTCAAAGTAGGTATTAAAACAAAATATATTACTAATACATACGCAGATGACCTATTTTGGTTGACTATTGACTATTTTAGTTTTAAAAAAAATGCTTTGAACATCAACCATTTCTCAGGCTTGTCTGTGCCAATCCTTTTCAAACTTGGTATGATCATAATGTATGATGGATTTCTGATACATACAGGTTTTGTGATTTGTTTGAAAGATGCAAACTGGCAGCCAGGCTGGTTTCAATTTTATATCTCCTTAACCATCTCTATGAACATGCCTTAAAAGCATTATTACAAAAGAAAAGGCAGTATTTTGTGTTATGAAATGTAATTTTTGTTGTATAATAAACGTAGAATATCATCAGTGTCTCATGCAACAACATATACATTTATAGCTTATCCTTCAAAACATATCCAGCAAATTACACAGCAATAATATGAATTAATTTGTATAAGTAAAAATCATATGTCTGATATCATTAAATAATTTTTAATAATATATTTCTTTGTTTGATGTGAACAAGTATGCTTTAATAATATATCGTGCAGGAATTGATCAAATATGAAAAATTATATGAAAATGTTTTCACATTCACACAAATGTTACCGGGTACTCGGATTTATAATGATGATAAAGTAATTATATATGTTTCAGTATGTATGCTTCTCAGTTCTTCATCTTTATTGTACTTTTCATTTTAGTCAATATATTAAATTAAAAAGAATATGATTTTGCAATTTAGATTCCTTCTTGTTTATTTTAATAATGTTTTTGTGAATACAGACAAAATATACATAATTTCTGATAAGAACTTATGAATATGAAATGTGTAAATTTTGTAAAAGATGATAAAAGTTGTTTACCATACTAACATGATGTAAGATGACACTATTATATTTATTTTATGTATATTTTTAGGTTCAGATGGCTGTGTAGGTAAAACTGATGAACCTGGTAATTGTACAGAAGACGCAATATTCGAAGAAGGTGTATGTAAGTATATCACTACACATAATACAATACAGTACAAAACGAGCTGCTCAACAGATTTTTTATACATAATCTGTGATAAAATTTCTTGCATTAGCGCCATGAATGTTACCGCATACAAAATAAATAATATGCCATTGCTCATAGATAATTTCTAAAACCTTTGAATGTCAATGTTGATTTTGTTCACATATCACAAAAATAAATTCTATTTTTAATATTTTGACCAATGCAACAGCAAAATTGAAGAGAAATATATTAAATACCGTTCAAATGTTGTACCACAATAATGCTGTAAAAAGATTTCTAACTTGTATTCTGTGTCAGGTAGATCTTATACAATGTTTTGTTTGGTTTAGGTGACGAGTTGAACGACACAACTACGGCTCCAGAAAATGAAAGTGACACAACAAGTTCACCTGACAAAACAACACCACCTCCAGAAGTGCCAACCACTCCAGGGCCAACAACATTTCCAATTGAACAAACAACAAATGAAATGGAAAATCCAACGACAGTTGAGAGTGATGGTACAACAGAAGGTACTGAAGGAGGTTTCTTGCCATCTACTGGAGCATCATTTTCTGCTGCTAGTTTTGTTGGTGGAATTATTCTTTGTGGTGGTGTTATTCTGATTGCTTTCATTGGATGTAAATTTTACCAAAGCAGAAGCAAAAACTACACCACTTTGTAAAAATGTTACATCAAATACAACTTTATATGTGGGAATTACTTATCCCCCAAACAAATTTTAGTTTTCTGTCTACTTAAAAAGTTGTGTATGCAATTGTGCATGGTAGGTTAAAAAAATGAGCAGACTTAGGTTTAAGAAAGACAATTATGAATTGAAGATGAACTTTTTTCAATGCCTTTCCCCAGTAATAATTGATTTAAAAGTTCCCCAAATTATGAATGGTGTTTATAGATATTTTTATTCTGAACGTGGCAGGATAGCCTTCTCTTTTGTGTTTGGTCTCAGTCACATTTTCCAGATAACTGGACCTTCCTTTTGATGTGTGATCTCACAACCATACTGCCTGGATAACTGGCTTTCTTATTCATGTGTGGTCCACAGTCACAATGCCTGGTTAACTGGCCCTCTGCTTCATATAAGGTCCAGTCACAATGCCGGGATAACTAGGCATTCTGATTCATGTGTAGTCATATAGTGGTTACTTTGTCGTAATAATACATTGTATTATTGATAACTAATTATGACAAGCTAGATTATAAGAACTACAATAATTTTACTTGATTGCCAGATGTTCATTGTAATACAAAAATATAACCTTAAGCAATGTGTATGAACATAATGTTGCTTCTGCTGAATACTTCATATCAAAGAAGACAATTATATGCGTACATGTTTACACCAAATACTTTGGAACCCTTTAAAATTAGCATTCATATGTCAAGCATTCATATGTACATAGCTAATTCAGTTTGTATAGTTGTATTTGATTTGGACTACCGAGTATCCATCAAAAGTTCAGTTTTTAGACCATAACTACTAATATGAGTGAAGTGTATGTTTTAGCCAATGAAAGTTTGCACAATTTACATTCACAAAGTTATGTTTTTGTTGTCTGTGTCTTTTTTCAGTGATGCAATACACAAATTAATAAAATTGTTCGAAAGTTGCTCGTTTTCAAGATAACTGAAAATAAACAGCCATGGACACTTCACTTAAAAACGCCCCCCTAGGTAAAAATATTTGAGGATTTTGATGTTGAGGTTGTCTTCAGACTAAGTCGTGTACTGCTGAAAAACTGGTTGAAATCTGTAAATGGAATGATAGCTATGCAAAGATGTTTTAGAAATGTAGACAGTATGCACCCATTAATTTCATGTAACAAAGATTTCAGATGTGTTCCATTTACTATGTTCATGGTTGAAAATTGCATAATAAAAATATTCACAAATTGTTCAAGGATTGATATTAGAATACAATAACTCAGAATTCAATGAAGAACTTTTGAAAGTTGTGAATAAAATTAGCATACAAGAACAATAGATGTTCTTATTTGGTATAATGAATGGTATTCCTACTTTGGCAGTTCATGCATGGTACTTGCTTTACAGTGCCTACAAATTAAGCAGTATTAAAATCAGTCTAGTTTCTCTAATTTTGCCAATTGTCTACTTATTTCAGATGAATATTTGTTGTTGTTGAAATTTGGCAATAATTTTTGCTGTTATTTTCCCAACGAAATCTTATTTGTGATCAAAATAGATGATTGGAAATTTAATTTTCTTTAAAATGTATACATGTAGTTGGGTAGTAATAACATCAAGATGTATTCCCCTTTCCAGTTGTTTTGTATTTGATTTACTTAATTCAGTTGTACCGAAATACACTTAATTATCAGGTGATTGAAGTCTACTTAACCTTGCCAACAGTCTGTCTTGATGCAACAGCCATTTGAATTACATTGCATCACCAGCAGTCTGTCTTGATGTAACTGCAATTTGAATAAATCCATTTCATCACTAGCAATCTGTCTTGATGCAACTGCAATTTGAATAAATCCATTGCATCACCAGCAATCTGTCTTGATGTAACTGCAATTTGAATTACATTGCATCACCAGCAGTCTGTCTTGATGTAACTGCAATTTGAATAAATCCATTTCATCACCAGCAGTCTGTCTTGATGTAACTGCAATTTGAATAAATCCATTTCATCACCAGCAGTCTGTCTTGATGTAACTGCAATTTGAATAAATCCATTTCATCACCAGCAGTCTGTCTTGATGTAACTGCAATTTGAATTACATTGCATCACCAGCAGTCTGTCTTGATGTAACTGCAATTTGAATAAATCCATTTCATCACCAGCAGTCTGTCTTGATGTAACTGCCATTTGAATTATATTTCATCACCAGCAGTCTGTCTTGATGTAACTGTAATTTGAATTACATTGCATCACCAGCAGTCTGTCTTGATGTAACTGCAATTTGAATTACATTGCATCACCAGCAGTCTGTCTTGATGTAACTGCCATTTGAATTACATTTCATCACCAGCAGTCTGTCTTGATGTAACTGCCATTTGAATTACATTGCATCACCAGCAGTCTGTCTTGATGTAACTGCCATTTGAATTACATTACATTACATCACCAGCAGTCTGTCTTGATGTAACTGCCATTTGAATTACATTGCATCACCAGCAGTCTGTCTTGATGTAACTGCCATTTGAATTACATTGCATCACCAGCAGTCTGTCTTGATGTAACTGTAATTTGAATTACATTTCATCACCAGCAGTCTGTCTTGATGTAACTGCCATTTGAATTACATTTCATCACCAGCAGTCTGTCTTGATTGATGTAACTGTAATTTGAATTACATTGCATCACCAGCAGTCTGTCTTGATGTAACTGTAATTTGAATTACATTGCATCACCAGCAGTCTGTCTTGATGTAACTGTAATTTGAATTACATTGCATGATTACACTGTATGATATTGTAAAGTACAGTTTTGTATATTTAGTGCCTTATTGTATTTATTGTGAATAAAATGATAGATTTTAATGATTTACATCTTTTCCATTTGTACTTTTTTTATTCAATTATATTACATATTTGTTATTTCTATATAATATCAACATTTAATCTCAAATCTTGAATACACATGGTAAAGTCATCTCTAAAGCCAGTGTCATTATGTAGCTGGAAAATGTTACAAGTCCATTTGCACCTAAGTTGTAGGACACATTAGTTGACAGGGGCGTATAGGTTAATACTGTACTGCCTAGTATGACAAAGAAGGATGTGAAGAGGAAGAAACAGCCAATCATAGATCATTAAACGAGCCTTATAAGGGAAATTGTAAAACAAAACATTCTATCACACAATCCACATGAAAATAACTAAAAAGTACACCACAGTACACATTATGTAGTTACACAGTCAGAATGTGAGGATAACCAGGTCTTCTGATTCATATGTAGTTTCATGATAACACAATGCCAGGACAATCAGGCCTTCTAATTAGTCCCCGTTCGGACGCAGTCCGAAAACGGGGACTTATGTTTTGACCTCTGTGTGTACGTGCGTGCGTGCGTGCATGTGTCTGTGCGTGCGTCCGGACCTGTATCTTAGAAATGCCTGGACCAATCACAATCAAACTTCACACATACATCATGAATCATATTATACATATGCACGTCAATTTGTTTCACGATCTGATTCAAGATGGCCAAAAAGCGACCATTTTTGTGCTAAAAATCATAAAAATCTAGCATTTCTCGTCCGTTTACAGATGGATTTCGTTCAAACTTGGTATATACATTAGACATTATAGGACCTTAATGCACATCATTTTGTTTTACGATCTGATTCAAGATGGCCGAATGGCGGCCATTTTTGTGCTAAAAATAATCAAAATCAAGCATTTCTCGGCTGTTTACAGATGGATTTTGTTCAAACTTGGTATATACATTAGACATTATGTGACCTTGATGCAAATAATTTTGTTTTTCAGATAAGATTCAAAATGGCCGACTGGCGGCCATTTTGTATTAATGAATGTGGTTCTCGTGCCATATCTCTGACTTGCTTTCACTGATTATGTTAATTTTAAATATTCATTATACATCATGTCATAGATAGACAGATATATTGGTGTGACGATCCTATTCAAAATGACCAAATGGTGGCCTTTTTTGTGCTAAACAATCATCAAATATCAAGCATTTCTGGCATTTATGGATGGATTTCATTCAAACTTGTTACATATATTAGACATTACAGGTTCCTGATGCACATCATTCATTTTTCAGATCGGATTCAAAATGGCTGTCTGGCGGCCATTTTGTTTTAATGAATGGGCTTCTATACCCATATCTCTGACTTGTTTTGACTGATAATATTTTCAAATTTTAAATATTCATTATACATCATGTCATAGATAAACAGATATATTGGTTTGACTATCCTATTCAAAATGGCCGAATGGTGGTCACTTTTGTGCTAAAAAATCATAAAATATCAAGCATTTATGGGTGGATTTCGTTCAAACTTGGTACATACATTAGACATTATGGGTTCCTGATGCTTTCATTATATTTTTCAGATTGGATTCAAAATAGCTGACTGGCGGCCATTTTGTTTTAATGATTGGGCTTCTAGAGCCATATTTCTTAAATGCTTTGACTGATTATATTCAAATTTTATATATTCGTTATACATCATGTTATATATATATACATGTATTCAAAATGGTTGATTTTCAATGCTGTTCCAGAGCAATTTCTCTCAATATGAACAATATGTCAATCATTTTAATGTTTAAAAAATCATATTCCTGACATGGTTATATTCCAGCTATATTACTATAAACAAAACTATATATCTTAAATTTGATAACTAACGAGAACTGTGCCATGCATAGCTTGCTCATATGTAGTTTTACAGTTACAATGCCAGGATAACTTCTGATTCATAGATAGTTTCATGGTCACAATGCCAGGATGACTGGGCTTTCTGGTTCATATGTAGTTTCACAGTCAGAATGTGATGATAACAGGGCTTCTGATTCATATGTAGCTTCATGGTCACAATGCCAGGATGACTGGGCTTTCTGATTCATATGTAGTTTCATGGTCACAATGCCAGGATGACTGGGCCGTCTGATTCATGTGTAGTTTCACAGTCAGAATGCCAGGATAACTGGGCCTTCTAATTCATATGTAGTTTCATGGTCACAATGCCAGGATAGCTGGGCCTTCTGATTCATAAGTAGGTTTACAGTTACAATGCCAGGATAACTGGGCCTTCTGATTCATAGATAGTTTCATGGTCGCAATTATGCCAGGATAACTGGGACTTCTAATTTATACGTAGTTTCACAGTCAGAATGAGAGGATAACTGGGCCTTCTGATTCATAGATAGTTTCAGTCAGAATGCCAGGATAACTGGGCTTTCTGGTTCATATGTACAGTACAGTTCTCGCGGAAGCTTTGGCTTTTGTGGCCTCATTGTCGCATACGCATGGCTTCATTGTCGCCTCAGCATCGCATCATTGTGGCATCAGCTTCGCGTCATTGAAAATTGAAGCTGTGTTCGTGTCAGGGGGATATCTTCTCCTCTCGGGGTCTCCACACTGTCAGGGGGGAATCTCGTCTCGTCTCTCTATCTCGTCCCCTTGAGGTACGGGATCGGGAAAGTCACTTTAACTTTACAGTCAAATAAGACACACACAACGAAATACGTTTCAGCTCTCGTCTTAGTCGGTCTGTCGAGCACTCTGTAAGACACAGCGCCCTGGGGAA